AAACAGTTATGAGGTATGCATATGAGAAATGAGAAGTATGCTAAAAAATGCATAAAGCTATAATCAAGTAATGAGAATATGGGATATTTCTTTTTTTTTTTTTTTGAGACAGAGTCTTGCTCTGTTGCTTAGGCTAGAGTGCAGTAGTGCGATCTCAACTCATTGCAACCTCCGCCTCCTGGGTTCAAGCGATTCTCCTGCCTCAGCTTCCCGAACAGGTGGGATTACAGGTGCCTACCACCACACCCAGTTATTTTTTCTATTTTTAGTTAAGATGGGGGGGTTTCACCACAGTGGTCAGGCTGGTCTGGAACTCCTGACCTCACGTGATCTGCACACCGGCAGATATTTCTCATTTTTAAAAAAGCTTAGGCCGAGGCACGGTGGCTCATGCCTGTAATCCCAGCACTCTGGGAGGCCAAGACGGCAGGATCACCTGAGGTCAGGAGTTCCAGACGAGCCTGGCCAACTTGGTAAAATACAAAATTACAAAAATTATAAATTATTTTACTTGGTAAAATACTAAAAATACAAAAATTAGTCACGCTAGGTGGCGGGGGCCTGTAATCTAAGCTACTCAGGAGGCTGAGGTGAGAGAATCACTCAAACCCAGGAGGCAGAGGTTGCAGTAAGCCGAGATCATGCCACTGCACTCCAGCCTGGGCAACAAAGCAAGACTCCGCCTCAAAAAAACAAAAACAAAAAAGCTTAAAGTTGTTATTTTTCAGTATCTACGCCTTAAGACAAAATCTGAAAGGAAATGTATGGAAAAAGGGAGCTCTTAGAATAGTGAAACTCGAATGGGCGCAGTGGCTCACACCTGTAATCCCAGCACTTCGGGAGGCCAAGGCAGGTGGATCACGAGGTCAGGAGATTGAGACCATCCTGGCTAACATGGTGAAACCCCGTCTCTACTAAAAACACAAAAAATTAGCGAGGTGTGGTGACATGCACCTGTGGCCCCAGCTACTCAGGAGGCTGAGGCAGAAGAATCACTTGAACCCAGAAGGCGGAGGTTGCAGTGAGCCGAGATTGCACCACTGCACTCCAGCCTGGACAACAGAGTGAGACTCTGTCTTAAAAAAAAAAAAAAAAAATTGTGAAACTGAAGATACATATTTTTAATTTTTTTTACTGCCACTATAATGCTGCTTATGTAACAAAAACAAATTTTATTTAAATACATATAAATCAGACAGCTCAGAGCACCCTGCCTTCTTGTGCATACCTGAGAGCTCTTTTTTCCAGAAAGCCATGTATCATATTTTCTCCTAATCTGAGGCAGCCGCCAGAGCCACTCTTGCACTGAAGTGATCCATTCAGGTAAGCTGAGACGCTAAGATCAGATGACCCACTGGCACCAGGTCATGGTCAGAAGTGCAAGTAATCAATGAAACCTTCAGGTAGCTATGGGGCTCACTTTCCAGATTAGCAGGAGCTTAGTATAGCAATGTCTTCTCTCTACAAATTGCTAGCAACATTTTCAGATTCACTCTCCACTGGCCCTCACACATTATTCAAACATTGCTCCCATGTAACTGGCAACCCTCCCCTAACTTCTCTCTATCCCATTAGTCTCTTATCTCCCACCCAGTCTCATTTTTTTAAAAAAAAGTCAATACCGATTTTGTCAGAAATTTTCTTGGAATGAGCCTCTTCTAATACAGTCAGTATTTTAAGAATTCAGCTATCAGTAAATGTTACTTATAGAAAATAACCACCTCATTGTACAAGTAGCTCCGGCTAAAGAAAAATAGAGCAAACCTGAGCATAAGTCTTTGCTGAAATTACCAACTAAAGCGGGGAAAAGAAAAACAACTTTAGTTTCTATATATAATTTTATTTCTGTTTTTTCTTCAGGGACATAAGCATAAAACCTTACAGCTTATGAATACTATTTTGAGATAATTTTCACATCTTTGCTTATCTAAATTCCACCTACTCTTCAAGGCTCCAGTGCCAAGTTTTACCTTCTCTATGAAGTCTTAATAATGGCTAAAATGTATCAAGCACTCACTAGATGGTAGGCACAGTCAGGTCTATACACCTAGCATGTATTAACTCAATTTAATCATCATAACATCCCTATGAGGAAAGGATGATTATTTCCCCCAATTTACAGACAAGGAAACAAGAGAGGCACTGAGAGATTCTAAGTAACTTTGCCCAGGTTACACAGCCAATAAGTGGCAGACACAGGATTTGAGCTCAGGCAATTTGGTTCCAGAGGCTGTGCTCTTAATCACTGTTATATGACCTCTCCTCAAGACCACGGCCCACCTTATCTCTTCCTTCTACTATACTTGTTACATATATCCCACATTAAATTTATTATACTCTGCACACTTTTTTTTTTTTTTGGAGACAGAGTTTCACTCTTATTGCCCAGGCTGGAGTGCAGTGGTGCAATCTCCGCTCACTGCAACCTCCGCCTCCTGGGTTCAAGCGATTCTCCTGCCTCAGCCTCCTGAGTAGCTGGAATTACAGGCGCCCACCACCATGCCTGGCTAATTTTTTGTATTTTTTAGTAAAGATGGGGTTTCACCATGTTGGCCAGGCTGGTCTCAAACTCCTTACCTCAGGTGATCCACCCGCCTTGGCCTCCCAAAGTGTTGGGATTACAGGCATGAGCCACCACGCCCAGCCTTCCCTGTTTTCTTAAGTGTTTCACTTGCTCCACAACTAAATTTTAAGTTCCTTTCAGGCAAGGCAACCATGACATTTACTTCCTGGCCCTATTTCTAGGAGAGTGCTATGTATGAAACACTCAATATATACTTTTAGTCAGGCACAGTGACACCTGCCTGTAATTCCAGCTACTAGGGAACCTGAGGTGGGAGGATCACTTAAGCTCAGAAGTTCGAGTCCAGCCTGGGCAACACAGTAAAGCCCCATCTCTTAAACACACACACACAAACACGCACACACACACACACATACACATCTTAGCTAATTTTTTAAAAATCCCTGGCAACATCTAAAGAACACGAAGTTACAAGCTATGAATCAGCAAAATTACTTTAACACCTGAAGGATAACTCATGCCATCAGTGTCGGATTTAGCATTACTAAAGTTAGGTAACTGACTACATATATTTATTTTTCTTCTTACTCAATGCATCTCTTCCTGGTGAGTCATATCTACAAAATTGGCAGACCAATCTATTTCCATTACCTAAAAGAGAACACTAAAGAAAAATCAAATGAAATTTCTTCTTCTGCATATGCATAATCAGTAAGTGACAATCTGTGTTATCACAAATAGCACACACAAGAGAAAAGAATACTGAAATCACAAAGGCTTCCAAGACTGGCAAACAGAATACATTTTATTTTATTTTATTTTTTTGAGATGGAGTCTCGCTCTGTCACCCAGGCTGGAATGCAGTGGTGCGATCTCGACTCATTGCTACCTCTGCCTCAAGCAATTCTCGGGTTCAAGCAATTCTCGTGTCTCAGCCTCCCATGTAGCTAGGATTACAGGCACATGTCACCATGCCCAGCTAATTTATTGTATTTTTAGTAGAGATGGGGTTTCACCATGTTGACTAGGCTGGTCTCGAACTCCAGCCCTCAGGTGATCTGCTCACCTCAGCCCCCAAGGTGTTGGGATTACAGGCGTGAGTCACCATGCCTGGCCCAGAATACATTTTAAATAACGTTTTTCAATTCATTAAAATGAGAAAATAAAAATGGAAGTTCAAAACATGATCTGTCTGGAATCACTCTAATCAACCTGGGCAGTTCAGAGTTAACCAAAACTCTTAATACTGGATATTAAGAAGTAGTACAGACCATAAGCAGAAAAACCACCCTAAATAGAACTGGACCATTACCCACACAATGTTGGTAAATCTAAGAACATCAAAATGTGGGGGCTACAGGTCTTAAAACAATTTTCAAATAATAAGGGAAAGAAGCTTAGGGTTTTACAGGCTTCTTCTTAAATATCACTTTTCAAATATACTACTAGTACAATTTCAATTTACATACAAAACAGTGAAATATTTTGCTATCTCTCTAGGCACTTTAGCTATCTCTGGAAAAGGTTAATGTGATCCTAAAACAAAGAAATCCTGATTATGGGATTTAACTTATTTCTTACTTTTAGCATCTGTCAGCTTTCTAGAGCTGAACAAGTTGTATGGCAATATAGGGTACACATACAAACAAGCAAAAGAAAAACATCAGTGTCTTTTGTAGGCTGGCAGGTTTGTACCTTCTGGGCTGTAGTCTCTAAATGATTAAAAACAGAGAGTACTAATGCCACTGAATTATACACTTAAAAATAGTTACAATGGTTTCTTTTTTTTAAAAAAAGACTTTAGGTCAATGGACAAAGTGAAAAAAGAAAATTACTCTGGATTTAATATAAAATGGTATTCAAGAATGAAGACTAATACCCTATTTTCAAATCACAGTTAAGATTTTTCCCAAAAAATATGGACGCCACATTATAAGAACACATAGAAATTATTTACAGACCCCATCTTGGGATCTGAAAGGCAAGTAAATGTATCCTTAATCTACACCAAACTACTGTGTTGACTAAAGGTAAGCCCTGGAAACCAGTACCTCTGTACAAGGTTGAAGACTATTTCATTGTGACTTCGACAACTCATCCTGGCCTGCACTTTACCTGGTTGTCACACCACTAAAGCAGAGTCTGCAACACTGTTATTTCAAAAACAGCACAAGCTTTTTATTCTCACACTGTATGTACAATAACAAAGTAGAAAACAAGAATTAAAAACACTACCAGTTTAAAAGAATACAGTTTGAGGCTATTACTTTCTCCTAAACAAGGGTTTATCAAAGGTAACATGCTCAAGCCCCAGTTACTGAAAACACAAACCTTCCCAAGGGTTACTCTGGCCCACATTTTTTCTTATACATTCAGTTAAACTCTGATGTCTTGACACACTGGAAAATTAGTATCTGCCATGATTTTAACACCTAATCACTTCTTAAAGAATTCCTACAACTAAAGGAAAACTTACCTCTGCAAAATGTGTTGTTGTGCTATTGTCTATCCGACTGCCGCCACCACCTAAAAAACTAAAGAGAAAAGGAATGAGTGGTGATTCTATTCCCAGGAACAAGCTCCCCTCCCAGAAGCTAAATATAGAATGGCATAATGAGAACAAAGCCCAATAAGGAAAAATAACTCATCCCAACACAACACCTATAAAGGAAATTATGAATAACTGGCATGTAAATTAATCTATGAGAAGTATCATAAACCACAAAATCAAGTGATTTTCAAGGCTAAATCCAGTGCAAATTGGAGAAGTCACCATAGAGAAGGAAGAAGGACCCACAGCCAGCAATGCGATTCAGATTTGACCTATCAAAAGAAAAACATTTATCCTCAAAAAACACTAACAAAACAAAATGTTTCACTAAAAAACCACTCAACCACCAGATGAACAAAACATGTGCAGCTACAATAGTTAATATGTCTTAGGAATGATTAAATGTAGTAACGTAAGGGGCCTGGTACTGTATTTAAAACACTATAAAAGGATTCAATAAATATTTCTCCCCCTACCCACCTTTCAGGACCCATCTCAAATGCTACCTCCTCCATCAAGCCTTTCTGTACTCACCAACCAAATAAGACTCTTCCACACCCCTCTGCACTCTCACTTTGATTCTAAAACCTACCTTGTATTATAAATATCTAGGATGTGCTGCATCCATTTCAACCCATTTGCCTCCTTCATCAATATAAATTCAGGAGGCAAAGACTGCAATTTATTAATGCCTCTCAAATACACGTAGAGTGTTCATTAAGTGTCAGACATTACACAGTACTATCACCTTTAAAAACCCTGCAATGTCAATATCCTATATTGAGACTCAAAAATAAAAGTTGTTGAATCACGTGAAAATGATAAAATAACTATCTATTCCCAAAGACCCTGAAGAGTGGAGAGAAATATTAAATCCCATTGTCCTCATGAAATTTGCAAAGAACAAAGAAAACAAGCTAACACATCCAGGAAGGGGGAATGGAAAGAATCACAGGAACTGCTGGATACCACTTTTACCTCAAGAGACACACTTAAGCACACAAACATACAAACACTCAACCCAATGATAAGTTCACAAACTACTACAAATAGTTTTCATCTGTAGGATTACAATACCAATCCAGGCATTGTGCTGAGCTCACTGAGGAAACACACACACCCTAGTTAGTCTGAAACCAAAAATGAAAAAGCAAAGCCAATGCCATTCTTTATGCAATCATTCTCAAGCCTTATTCCATGATTAGAAACCATTTAATACCTCTATTAATTTCAGAAAACCACTTTTGTAAAAATCACTCCAAATGTATAACAAGCCCAAAAGTACTTGTACATCTATGCTAAATAAAGAGCTAACTGAACTACCACATACCATAAAAAACTAAGTTGAGTGGCTATGTATCCATTTGATTGCTCAAGCCCAGACAGGTTTCTAGGACTCTTCCTTCCTGCCTTTACCACACAGTTTCAGGGATTTAAATATCCTTGGTAATTGAAACTGCAACTCTTATCTTCTGGGGTTCTGCTCTCCCTGAAGCTACCTCACTGTTGGCTTTCCTTAAAATTTCTTTACATTTTAAGAGTAATAGAGCTAATCATAGAGAAGGGATAATAGAAAGTACCACGTTGTTCTGAGAAATGTTACAAAGCTTAAGAAAACTTACAGTGTGCTCCTCTACATGGAAGTTTAAGAGCAGATGGCGCCCATCATCTAATATTTACATGTGAGAACCTCCTCTTACTGGTTTTTACCCTTCCACTACTTACCACTGCAACTGCTAAATATTTAAATCAGCAAATATTTATGAACTTTATAGAAGGAAATACCATACTGCCTCTAAAACAAGGATTCTAAGAAAAAGATTTCTTCTTTCATATAAAACACTAATCTCTTTCAAAACACACAGTCTGTATGAGTAAACTGCTACCAATAGCACCTATATAAGACAACCTTTGATCTACAAAGACATATAAAAGAATTAAGAACAAAAACCACAGAATCCATAGTTCCCTGCTAGGCAAAGATTCATCCTATAGTTATTCATTCTCATTTATAACTGTATTTGCATAAAAGTACTATCTGCCTAAAGAAAACAGGGTTACTACTTGAAAATTTGGCAAAAAATAAGCCCATTAATCGTTCCCCCACAACCAATATATCCTTTATTTAGCACATGCAGAGCATAAGTGCCTGAAATAAGTATTTGATGCAATTATAATGGCACAAACAAAAAGCTATCCCAAGTTAGCATGCCATCCACACAAAACTGCTAATTTTGCAGTCATGCTAATCTTAAAGGTTTAGTGTTGGTATTGTACTATTTAAAACCAAGATGACATTTAACTGTATCAAAATAGATCTCATGCCACATATTGCCCCAGAAGCTCCAGCTTGTTTACACATATAATCACCAATCATTAGTAAAGTAAAACTAATAGTACATACTGTAAAATGTGTAGTTTTTCCTGGTTGTGGAAGGTACCTTCAAACTTTAGATTCTGCCAACAGTAACAGTAAAGGAATTACCTACTGCCATTAAAATCCCCAAAGTCACTCCAAGATTAAGATGCTTCAGATTACAGATTCTTTTTGACCAGTCAGTATTTCTTCAATTTTCAGACCAATGTTTAACCAAATAGCCCCAAAAGAACAAATGTGCCATTGTGTTTACCAAAAGAGGCCATCCTATCAATGCTATTTTAAAATTTATTAAAATTTTAGGTTAGGCCAGGTGCAGTGGCTCACACCTGTAATCCCAACACTTCGGGAGGCTGAGGCGGGCAGATCATGAGGTCAGGACTTCAAGACCAGCCTGGCAAACACGGTAAAACCCCATCTCTACTAAAAATACAAAAATTAGCCAAGCGTGGTGGCAGGTGCCTATAATCCCAGCTACTTGGGAGGCTGAGACAGGAGAATCACTTGAACCTGGGAGGCAGAGGTTGCAGTGAGTCAAGATCGTGCCATTGCACTCCAGCCTGGGCAACAGAGTGAGTGAGACTCCGTCTCAAAAAAAAAAAAAAAGATTTTAGGTTGGCCACAGTGGCTCATGCCTGTAATCCCACCACTTTGGGAGGCCAAGACAGACGAATCACTTGAGGCCAGGCGTTCGAGATCAGTCCGGCCAACACAGCAAAACTCTGTCTCTACTAAAAATACAAAACAAATTAGCAGGGCACAGTGGCGCACACCTGTAGTACCAGCTACTGGGCAGACTGAGGCCCAAGAATCGTTTGAACCCGGGAGGGAGAGGTTGCAGTGAGCCGAGATTGAACCACTGCACTTCAGCCTGGCAACAGAGCAAGACTCTGTCTCAAAAAAAAAAAAACAAAAAACAAAAAAAACCAAGAAAACACATTTTATAGTTTTGTTCACATAAACAAAAAAATAATATGTAAGTCACTTCCAGAAATACTTCCCCTTTTTATCAGCTGTATACCTTTACTAAGGCCAATAAGAACAAATTCCAAGCACTGCAAATCCATATATTAATATTACACTGAAAAGATGGCCTAAGTTTGACAGCAACAATCTTTTTTTTTTCTTTTTTTTGAGACACAGTTTCGCTCTTGTTGCCCAGGCTGGAGTCTTGGCTCACTGCAACCTCCGCCTCCCAGTTTCAAGTGATTCTCCTGCCTCAGCCTCTCAAGTAGCTGGGATTATAGGCACCTGCCACTATACCCGGCAAATTTTTGTATTTTCAGAGGAGATGGGATTTCACCATGTTGACCAGGCTACCAGGCTGGTCTCGAGCTCCTGACCTCAGGTGATCCACCTACCTCGACCTCTCAAAGTGTTGGGATTACAGGCATGAGCCACCACACTGGCCAAATAATCTTAATAAGAACAAGAGACTCAAGGCTTCCTCAAAGTAGAGGAACAAACAGCTTCCCTGACTAGAACAGCCTGTTTACCTGATTAGGTATCTATGTCAGAAGTCACTCCCTAACCCACCAAAGAGGTATAACGGCAGTTTACCTTCAGGCATCAGAGTGGTCACTAAAAACCAACTAATAATCTAAGATAAGCCCCCAAGTCTCAGCTAATAAATGAAAACTTACCAGATTTACTCTGACATGCGTACAGTTGTACATGGAATGCCACATACAATCAGAAGCGGTGCGTTATCACCACATCTGCTATCTTATTACTTTCCAAATTTTCCCGTTTTTCTTTCTTTTTCCTCTCCCATTCTTCTGCCCTCTTTTGTGCAAGCTCATGCACTCACTGACACTCTCTTTCTTTCTCTCTCTCACTCTCGCTCTCTCTGTAGAGTGTAGGTTATAAAACAAATTCAATTTACTCAGTCCATGCTGAGAGAAAATAGTTTTGATAATATAATGTCTGACTTATTCATGAGCTTGTACAATACCTGGAATCATCTGTCACTTCTTCAATAAAGCCTGATTCACATCTGGGACAAATATATTCCTATAAAAGAAAGGAAGAAACAAAAATTTTTCATTAGAAAGCTAAGTGAGATCTGTAGTTTCAGAATAACATGCAGTATACAAGCTGAGGCTCTGAAATGCGGTATGTACTTGCTGACTCAAGTAGTATTTTTTTTTCTTTTGTGATCTGTCACCCAGGCTGGACTGCAGTGGTATGATCATGGTTCACTGCAACCTCGATCTCCCAGGTTCAAGAGATCCTCCTGCCTCAGCCTTCAGAGTAGCTAGGACCACAGGCATATGCCAACATGACTAATTTTTTTTATTTTTTGTAGAGGATGAGGTCTTGCTATGTTGCCCAAGCTGATCTCAAACTCCTGAACGGATCTTCCTGCCTCAACCTCCCAAAGTGCTGGAATTATAGGCATAAGCCACTGAGCCCAGCCTAGTTTCTTCTTTTTTCTTTTTCTTTTCTTTTCTTTTTTTTTTTTTGAGACAGAGTTTCGTTTTTGTTGCCCAGGCTGGAGTGTGCAATGGCATGATCTCGGCTCACGGCAACCTCTACCTCCTGGGTTCAAATGATTCTCCTGCCTCAGCTTCCCAAGTAGCTGGGATTACAGGCATGCACAAACACGCTCGGCTAATTTTGTATTTTTAGTAGAGATGAGGTTTTTCCACGTTGGTCAGGCTAGTCTCGAACTCCTGACCTCAGCTGATCCACCTGCCTAGGCCTCCCAAAGTGGTGGGGTTACAGGCGTAAGCCACCATACTCAGCCTTCTTTTTTTTTTTTGAGATGGAGTCTTGCTCTCTTGCCCAGGACCTCAGGAGCTAGAGTGCAATGCAATGGCATGATCTTGGCTCACTGCAACCTCCACCTCCTGGGTTCAAGTGATTCTCCTGCCTCAGCCTCCTGAGTAGCTGGGATTATAAGCTCCTGGCTAATTTTTGTATTTTCAGTAGAGACGGGGTTTCACCATGTCGGTCAGGCTGGTCTCAAACTCCTGACGTCAGGTGATCCACCCGCCTCGGCCTCCCAAAGTGCTGGGATTACAGGCATAAGCAACCACGCCCAGTCCAGTACCGGCCTAGTTTTTTCTATTATACTCTGGCAAATACAGAATTCCATAAAATATTTGCAGAATTGTTTCATAGCTACCTAAGTGGTTTCCACTGACAGCTGAAAGGTAGAGTGCCAAAGATTTTTTTCTTTATTTTAAAATTTAGGTTATTCATTTATTTATTTTGAGACGGAGTTTCGCTCTTGTTACCCAGACTGGAGTGCAATGGTGCGATCTTGGCTCACCACAACCTCCGCCTCCCGGGTTCAAGCGATTCTCCTGCCTCAGCCTTCCAAGTAGCTGGGATTACAGGCATGCACCACCACGCCTGGCTAATTTTGTATTTTTAGTAGAGACTACAGACGGGGCTTCTCCATGTTCGTCAAGCTGGTCTTGAACTCCCGACCTCAGGTGATCCCCCCGCCTCAGCCTCCCAAGCGTAAGCCACTGCGCCCGGCCTATTTTTTTTTTTTTTTAGACGGAGTTTTGCTCTTGCTGCCCAGGCTGGAGTGCAATGGCATGGTCTTAGCTCACTGCCATCTCTCCCTCCCAGGTTCAAGCCATTCTCCTGCCTCAGCCTCCCAAGTAGCTGGGATTATAGGCACCTGCCACCATGCCAAGCTAATTTTGTATTTTTAGTAGAGACGGGGTTCTACCATGTTGGTCAGGCTGGTCTCGAACTCCTAACCTCAGGTGATCTGCCCACCTTGGCCTCCTAAAGTGGTGGGATTACAGGCGTGAGCCACCACGCCTGGCCTAAAATTTAGGTTTTTTTTTAATTAGAATGAATTCATCGTCTAATTTTCTCTTCAAATCTAACAAAAAAA